GCGGGCCGTCTCGCGGGCCTCGAGGCGCTGCTGGGGCGTGAGCTCGCCGCCGCGGATGGTGCGCACCGACGAGCTGCGCCAGTGCGCGTCGAGCGGCTTGCCGGCGACCTTTTCGAGCAGCAGGATCTTGCGGCCGGGGTCCTTGCGCGTGACGCGCTTGTCGTTGGTCCAGTACTCGGTCGACTCGGTCAGGAACACCTTGAGCTTGTGCACGTGCACCTTGTCGAGCGGCGTCAGCTTGAACGCGATGGGGATCTTGGAGCCGATGGGGAAGCTCTTGCCGGAAATGACAATGTCGTAGTGCAGCTGGTTCTCCCACTGCCGGCTGATGGAGATGGGCTCGGACATTTCTTGCGACATTTGGTCGGGGAGCCGCACGAGCGAGATTTCCTTGACGCCGTGCAGGTTCGGCTTGAACGCGCCCGCGCGGTCCACGGTGGCGTGCAGCTCCCACTTGACGGAGCCGTATTGCAGCTTGGTCGTCTCGAGCTGGTGGTAGTCGATGGGGAGTTCAAACGAGTAGTCGTAGGTGCCGGGGTAGAAGACCTTGTAGCCCTTGGCTTGTGTGGCCGTCGCGATGTTGTACTCGTTTTTGCCAAAACTGCGCGACTGGACAGTCTGCAGCGAGAGGCGCTTCATTTCCTTGGCGCTCAGGCTCGCGCGGTGTGATTGGAGCGTGGGCAGAGCCAGGTTCGTGCTGCTCGAGTTGTTGGAGCTCGATTTCAGCGCAAACGTGCATTGATTCCCGTATTCGCTTTCCCATCCCTCGGTCATGGCGTTGAAAAACGTCAGCACCTGCGTCCGCAGGCTCTCCTCCTCAAAGAAGTCTTGCTTGAGCGGGGGGATGCCCTCGGGCCACTCGGTGCGCGCGCGCCCGAGAAGCTTCAGCTGGACCGCCTTGAGCTTGACGTTTTTGCTGACATTGAGTCGTAACCGGCCGCGGAGCAGGGCAGTGCCGCTGCGGTGCTCCATGCGCGAGTGGCCGTCGTGCTCGAAGCCGTAGAGGAAGACATTTTGCTCGGCGAGTAGGATGGAGCACGTCACGCCGCTGCCGGACGCGACGGGCTTGGGGATCTCGGTGACCAGGGTCACCGCGGACTTGTTCATCCTGGAGGCGAGGTAGCCGGTGTCTGCGGGCAGGTGATATGCGGCTGTGTCGGCGCCCCGGCGTCGTGATGTCATTGTAGGCTGTGGAGTGACGAATTGTTCGCTGACGTCTACTGTCGATGTCGATGCGGAATTGAGCGCTGGTAGGGGTGTAATCTGGTCCTCTTGTACAGAGTTGGTCGGCTGGCGGGCGTGGAGGGACAATCGCTGCCGCCCGGTGGCTACCGCTGCGTTGAGTTGTTTGCTGAAAGTGCTCGGCGTTTGACGACGGCATGCAGAGTCGGGGCTCGGCGTAGACAATCGGCGAAGCAGGACGCGGCGCTCGGATTTCTGTGCGGATTTCCTTTCTCTTCTCAGCCGCCGAATATCTGCGCTAGATGGTGTTGGCGGCGGGCGAAGATCGCGCGGTATATAGCCAGAGGGAAAAGAGAGAATGTGGATGGCCTGGGCTCGGTTTCGGCGAGGCCCGATTAGCGGCGCGGGAAAGCACTCGGTTTGGGTATCGCGAGGTGCAGAATGACGCCAGTCTGATCGATAATAGACGCTGCCGCTATCAGCAGCTGGCCACAGGTTAGAACGTTCGCGGGACCTGGAAAAGGGCATGTTAACGGCTGGATCAGGACTTGGTGTTGATGCAGCACCTCTACTGCAGCATGCAAGAGTTGGGGAAGCTCGGCGAAGAAGCGGCGGAGGCGGATGATGTGGATGGTGACGTGTCTTGGGGTAAGGCAAGTCAAATAGGACATGGGCTGTTGTGTGCCAAGGACCTGGCACCCAAGGCCAGATCAAATGCTATAGCCATGACAAGACCCGGGCGACAAATGCCCAGCAACAAGAGAATGCCGAAAGGGTGTGTTGGCGTATGAGGCTTGATAGGTGGGGGGGAGGCCTGCAATGCGCGACACTTGAAGTTCGAAACAGTGAAATGGAGCCAGTAAGAGCGAGCCAGAATGAGACGAAAGAGACTGCACAGCCACACCTTTATGCTGGACGCGACGACTCGGACAGCGGTCTGGGGGTGAAAGCAGGGCGGTAGCAGAGTTGCCAAGCAAGGCACGACGTGGAAGGTGTGGGCTGCATGAGAAGAAGAGATCGAGATTGACTAATAAAGAAAGGTTGTGTTGGGATGGACTACATCACCTCACAGGAGTGGATCAAGGACCTGTCCAAGGGGAGGTGTGTGTGGGCAAGAGAGTCGAGTTGACTGGTGTGAGGAGGGGAGGCGAAGATGCCGCGGCTGGATGGTGCAGAGGGTCTTGGGAAGCGTGAAGAGCGTGAATAGGGAAGAAGAGCACGAGACGAGGAGGGTGAGCGGAGTAGAGTATCCGTGAGGCGAGGGTCGTGCCGAGGAATTTAGGAATTTAGGAATTGGGGAGAGCGGAAACAGGGAGAGAGGAGCGTAAAACAGCGCGAAACAGGTAGCTTACCTTGCGTTATGCAAAAAGGCACCCAACTTTGCTCAATTGACTGGGTGACTGTATTCGTATTCCTGCGAGAGCCAAGCGATGGCGTAGGTTGGTGTGTGTGGCTGGGCCGTAGTCGTCGAACTTGGGGCCAAGAGCTTATCACCGGCAATTGAGCGAGGCCAAAGTTGGCGACAATTTGGCGCTGGATTGCTGTATGACGTTGTCTGCTCTGACTGATGCTGACTTGCAGAGAGAGAGAGAGACAGGACGGAAGATGAACGAAGCTGAATGGGGTTACACGAAAAGGTCCAGAGGATGAGTTTTGCACGACTAGGATCGGCGCAAGTGAATTGAAACGGGGGCCTTGTCTTTAGATATGATGCTGGTTTTCTTCCGTGGGTAAAAAAAAAGCCGTTGTCGCCGCTCCGGGGTTTTGGGATACGGAGAAGGCTGTCTGTCTGTGTGTTCCGAAGAGCTGTCAGGGTCGGAATAGAGGAATGTAGGAATGTGAAAGAGAAAGAAAGTCAAAAGAGATTGAGGGGATAGAAGAATAAGGGAATGGAAGAAATAAGGTCGAGTTAAAGGAAAAAAAAGAAAACTCTTTTCCCACTCCCATAGATGACTCTCGTAATGGAGTGACCGAAGATGGTGAGCGTGCCTTGTACCCGGAGTGGCGCTAAGTTGTCGATGCAGGGTGGGTTGTCATGCTTTTGGGATTGTGACAATTGCGGTCAGTCTGATATTGCCCGTATTTTTTGTTGTTGTGGTTGTTTTTTCTCTTTTAATTTCTTCCTTTATCATGTACTTATAGTTATTTATTACTTGGGAATTGACTCCGTCATGCAGAATAAATAGGTACCTAGTTTAGGCAGGTTACTGGCTGCTACGGATAGTAGGCACCTAATAAGGACGTTTCAAAGCAACGACCGGAACTTCAGGGTCCGTTGAAGAATGAGGGGACGAAGCAGCACCAACTTTGTACATGTCTTCTTCACTCGACTACTTGCTTGGTTCGTCAATGTACCCGTTCAGTCAAATTCACGCTCCCGTCTGAGCCGCTTCCGATGATGCCGCTTCGGCGGTCCGGGTTTCGCCCGCTCTAGGCTGTGACTCCACTGGAACAAGCCACGAAAGCCACTGAAGCCACCGCTCAACGTGCATGTTCTTCGATACAGCTTCCCAAGAGTTTAAGTCATTTCATAGTTAACGGAAAGTGACGTGATTCCAAATACAGTACTACTAATCCGTATTCAAACAAATGTCAACTAATTCGTCGGCGGTCCACAGCGGTAAAGATAGTGTGCACTGGTACAAATTACTTGGGCGCTGCTTGCTGAAGCCTGGCGGTCTGAGGGTATAGATCAAGCGAGGTTAGGGAGGA